AGAGAGTTCCAGAAAAACATCTATTTCTGCTTTATTGACTATGCCAAAGCCTTTGACTGTGTAGATCATAATAAACTGTGGAAAATTCTCAAAGAGATGGGAATACCAGACCACCTGACCTGCCTCTTGAGAAATCTGTATGCAGGTCAGGAAGCAACAGTTAGAACTGGACATGGAACAACAGACTGGTTCCAAATAGGAAAAGAAGTACGTCAAGGCTGTATATTGTCACCCTGCTTATTTAACTTGTATGCAGAGTACATCATGAGAAACACTGGACTGGAAGAAGCACAGACTGGAATCAAGATTGCCGGGAGAAATATCAATAACCTCAGATATGCAGGTGACACCACCCCTACGGCAGAAAGTGAAGAATTAAAGAGCCTCTTGATGAAAGTGAAAGAGGAGAGTGAAAAAGTTGGTTTAAAGCTCAACATTCAGAAAACTAAGATCATGGCATCTGGTCCCATCACTTCATGGCAAGTAGATGGGGAAACAGTGGAACAGTGGCTGACTTTATTTTTCTGGGCTCCAAAATCACTGCAGATGGTGATTGCAGTCATGAAGTTAAAAGACACTTACTTCTTGGAAGGAAAGTTATGACTAACCTAGAGAACGTATTAAAAAGCAGAGACATTACTTTGTCAACAAAGGTCCGTCTAGTCAAGGCTATGGTTTTTCCAGTGGTCATGTATGGATGGGAGAGTTGGACTATAGAGAAAGCTGAGCGCCGAAGAATTGATGCTTTTGAACTGTGGTGTTGGAGAAGACTCTTGAGAGTCCCTTGGACTGCAAGGAGATCCAACCAGTCCATCCTAAAGGAGATCAGTCCTAGGTGTTCATTGGAAGGACTGATGTTGAAGCTGAAACTCCAATACTTTGGCCACCTGATGAGAACAGCTGACTCATTTGAAAAGGGTCTGATGCTGGGAAAGATTGAGGGCAGGAGGAGAAGGGGACAAAAGAGGATAAGATGGTTGGATGGCATCACCAACTCAATGGACATGGGTTTGGGTGGACTCCAGGAGTTGGTGATGGACAGGGAGTCCTGGCGTGCTGCAGTTCATGGGGTCGCAAAGAGTTGGACACACCTGAGCAACTGAACTGAACACAAGTGAGGAAATTAGAGGCCTATTCATTCCTATCTTTTCTACTCCAGACATAAAACTAAAAGTGGAAAAGAAGATGAAATAGTCACTAAAACCTTAGGTTTCCTTTCAACAACTATTCCATTTACTGAAAAAATTTACTATACAAACCAATTTTAGAATTAAAGTTCTTTATTTTGAATTGACATTTACATTTACTGTGAAATATATGTTCAAAAAGTACACAGAACATATCAAATATGGATGGCCTAACGAATGATTATATGGCAAACATACATTTTTTAAGTACAGTCCAAGTCCAGAATAGAAACCAGGATCACAGAAACAGAAGCAAGCTTTCTTAAAATACCCCACCTCCACACCCCTCTTCAATCACTACTACCTTAACATGCTATGTGAATTTCACAAGCTAATTCACTGAGAACAAAAAGAAATAGGGCCACAGTTTATGTGAGGTGGTATTTTAAAATACCTCTAAAATGCATTAATGGGCTTCTCTGGTAGCTCAGACTGTAAAGCATCTGCCTGCAATGCGGAAGACCTGGGTTCAATCCCTGGCTTGGGAAGATGCCCTGGAGGAGGACATGGCAACCCACTCTAGTATTCTTGCCTGAAGAACCCCCATGGACCTCTTCCTTTTCCGGTAAGCGGCCTGAGCTGACCCTTGAAAATGGTGCGCTATTCACTCGACCCAGAAAACCCCACAAAATCATGCAAATCAAGAGGTTCAAATCTTCGTGTTCACTTTAAGAACACTCGTGAGACTGCCCAGGCCATAAAGGGTATGCATATCCAAAAAGCCACCAAGTATCTGAAGGATGTCACTTTAAAGAAGCAATGTGTGCCATTCCGTCATTACAATGGTGGAGTTGGTAGGTGTGCACAGGCCAAACAGTGGGGCTGGACGCAGGGTCGGTGGCCCAAAAAGAGTGCTGAATTTTTACTACATAGGCTCAAAAATACAGAGAGTAATGCTGAACTTAAGGGCTTAGATGTAGATTCTCTGGTCATTGAGCACATCCAAGTGAACAAAGCCCCCAAGATGCAGCGCAGGACTTACAGAGCTCACGGTCGGATCAACCCCTACATGAGCTCTCCCTGCCACATTGAGATGAACCTTACTGAAAAAGAACAGATTGTTCCTAAACCAGAAGAGGAGGTTGCACAGAAGAAAAAGATATCCCAGAAGAAACTGAAAAAACAAAAACTTATGGCCCGGGAATAAATGCCGCAGAAAATAAATGCAAATAAAAGTTAAAAAAAAAAAAAAAAAAAAAACCCTTGGACAGAGGAGCCTGGCAGTGTCCATGGGGTCACCAAGAATCCGACACGACTGAGCGACTAAGCACAAGCACAAAATGCATTAATAGAGAGACTTCCCTAATATATAGGACATTCTGCTATACTTTGCTGTGAAAAATGCCAGCAATAAGTGTATCGATCCATTTAGAATACAAATTATAGAACTGTTTGAATTTAATTTTGTGGAACACCACACAGGAGGGCCATAAAACACAGATTATTTTTTTCCCAGCATTTCCAACAGCTGGCAGGGAGGAAGACCAATATTAGCATTCAAGATGCAAAAAAAACACTAAATAACGGCCACTGCAACTCAGTAGCACCTAGATACTTAAATTACAAAATAACAGATTGATTTCTGTAATCTTTCCTGGTCTCTGACAAAATAAAAAAAAGCTTAGTAAATACTTCTCACGTTCATCCTAAATAAGGGTGCTCACACAGCAGGATTACCATGATTCTGGGTCTCTTATTTCTTACACTAAATACTAGCATTTAAGTAATAACTATAACATGGAATCACACTAATGACTGTTTATATTAACACCTCCTGTTCTAAGGTAGTATGAATTAAAAAAACCTATTTCTTATAGAACTAGCCAAAGCAAGGTTTTAACAAGATAAATGTTAACAGCCCCCAAATAAACTTAAGTGTAAAATATTAAAACTGATATGATGTTAAATTTAAACCTCATTTTTTCCTTTGCAAAATAAGTCATTCAGAGTGGAGTGTGACATTTAAGTAAAAAATTCCTAAATACTGTTAATTAGTAACACTTAAGAGCCCTTTTTAAAGAAGCATTCTTACTCCAAAATGTAGACATAGATAATGAAAAGCAAATATAATTCATTTATAATTTAAAACCTAGCCAAACTCCTGTTTCCCTTGCACTAAAGATCTCCTTTTACTCCTCCAATTCCACCCACATATATCTCTAATTGTCTAATACTTACTTCTCACTAAACCCTGCAATCCTGAGCAGTGTTATCCCTGTGGGCTGTAACATGGTAAAGTGTTATATTACTACATTTGGAGATTTGAAGGACAGAAAAACACACAACCGTTTTAAACATCCAAGGTCTACTGTTAAGTACACTGACAATGGCAGATTAACAGTCATAGAGAAGGAGAGCCTTAATATCTAGACATGCTTTAGACAAAGAGAATTCCTTAAATCTCTAATACTGGAATGGCTAAGCAAATGATACATCATTTGATGGAATATTATGTAACCATTAAGACTAAAAATGATAAAGGTGTGTAACATAGCTTTATATAATTAAATATTTTAAATATGCTTTTATATCTACATGTAACTACAAAAATAGAAAGAAAAACTTAAAGAAAACAGTAAGAAATGAATATGTGGTACAGTTGTGAGGACTCCCCCAACCCTCCCACAGGTTTACAAAGTAAATAAAACCTAGAAGGTCAAAAATGTAATAACTCCTCTCTCTAGACAACTATAAAACTATCATCAGTACCTAGTAATCACCTCATTTTATGATCTAAACTAAAACACACCAAAACTTGCTACATATTACTCTTACAGGGCTGCTTCTGGGCAAGGTCAACGGATAGAAGGGAAACAAGGTCCTGTCTGAGTAGACTGATTAAGAGAGGAAAAAATGACTTCCTTACCTCACAGCATGGTGACAGAGGTATTTTAATCCATGGCATGTTTTATTGCCATCACAAGGCATCAAATATAAACATTATTTCCTATCAAAACTAACAACTGTATCCAGTTTAAGGCATAACTACATACACAAATGAGTATAACTAGTAAACTCTAAATAAGGTCTTGTGTCAGCTTCCTAGTTTTGATACTGAATTATACTTACTTAAGCAATCAACACTTGGGAAGACAGAATAAAGAGCGCATGAGACCTTCCCTGTATGTTTCTTTACAATTTCCTGTGAATCTATCATATCAAAACAAAATGTTAAAAAAATACACACACACACACACACACACACACACACACACACACACACACACACATATATATATACTGCCAGTTTTTCAAAATGGATGAAACCCATTCTTCTAATAGTACTACTATCAGAGTGGTATTCTTCACCTTGCTGAGAGCATACTAAATTGCTACAGACTCCTTTGGGAAAAATGATTCTATAGCATAAATCCAGGCCATAAAAGTTGTGGCTTTTTACCTAGCCATTTAATTTCTGGGAATTACCTAAAGAAACAACATCAGATTTGGGAAAACATATACATGCATTTATATACATACATATATAAAGATATTACTACACTGAAATAAAGTAAAATTGATGCAACTTTAGGTGTTTGAGGATATGGGAATCATTAAATTCTCAAACCCTAGGCATGAAATATTATGCAATCATTTGATAATATTGCAAATGGTACAATAATACAATAGGAAATGCATATAAAGAGAGACTAAAGCAAAATTAACAATTAGACACAAAAGTTACAGGAAATATTTCTAATAAAAATAAAAGATAATGGTGTTAGTATGACAGAATTATGTGCATTCTTCTCAAACTTCTCCATTAGAGATACTATATTAGTTTCATAGTTTAAGAAATAAGCATACTTTTACCTTATCCCAGAAATCAATCAAAGCTGTAAAGTCCCATTTCTTAGAATATGCCACATTGTACTTCAGAATAGCATCCTATGGAAAAAGCATAAATAAAATGTCATGATACAGTAAAGTGAATTATCTAGGAATAATCTGTCTCCTTTATGAATTATTTCCAGTATATTTCTTAATGTTGGACAAGTTTCTTCCACCATTAGCTACTCCATATCAGCAGTTATGAATGAACAGAATGCATACTAATTTTTAGTATTCACTTAAGAAAACTGAGATTAGAAAGGTCAAGTAATAGAGGGGGAAACATAATTACTCTAAAACATGTACTCTAAACAGAAGCAATATAATCCAAATGGACAAAATTGGATCTTGGGTGTTAAAAAAAAGGAAATAGTAATAATATAGTGACTTTTGGTACTTAATAGGGTCACACTACATATACAGATATATAGTGTATTAACATTAAGATTTCATTAGGAGAGTAAATTAGGGGAAGAGAGCAATAAAGAAAAAAGACTGAGGTCAAACTAGTGTGCCATCTGCTGGTGTAATTTTAACTGTCTGAATGCTCTATGCTATATCGCTTCAACTGTGTTGGACTCTGTGGCCCTATGGATTGAAGCCTGCAAGGCTCCTCTGTTCATAGGATTCTCCAGGCAAGAATACTGGAGTGGGTTGCCATTTCCTTCTTTTCCTTAACCCTAATTGTCTTGAATAGGAAGTACTTTACCTGTGGGGTAGGCATAAGACAATCCATTAAGTTACGCAGAAAGAACTATTGTATCATATCCTTTTAAATTTCTATTTGATTATATTTTATAACACATATTAATATAGAATTTATAAAAAACCATTTATAATCACAATATACACCTAAAGATTTTTTACTGAAGGCATATTAAGTCTGAAAAACATTGTGCTAGATTATTACTATAGACCTAAATTTCCTCATCATTGAAGAAAGTTTTTAAAAATTAACATTCTGGTGGCCTCTTCCAGTGCCGTCTTTGCAAATGAGCAGAAAGGTGGCTTGGGTTCCCTTCCGGGCGTTCGAGCTGGCTGTGAGCCTCTCCGTGATCGGCCATCTCGCCCAGAGCAAGGGACGAGCGGTGGTCGGCTGAACCCGCGGGACTCGCCTCTGTCGCCGCCTCCCCGGGTCCCGCTATCTCCTCAGGGGCCATGATGGCGGCGGCGTGGATGGACCCGGAGCGGCTGTCTGTGACGTTCGATGACGTGGCTGTGACCTTCACCCAGGAGGAGTGGGGACATCTGGACCCGGCCCAGAGGACCCTGTACCAGGAGGTGATGCTGGAGAACTGCGGCCTCCTGGTGTCTCTGGGGTGTCCTGTCCCCAGACCTGAGCTGATCTACCAGCTGGAACACGGGCAGCAGCTGTGGACGGTGAGGAGAGACCTCTCCGGAAGCACCTGTCCAGGTGACAAAGGAAAACCCAAGACCAGAGAATCTACCACTTCTGAGCCATCCCTGTTTGAGGGAGCCTCAGTCCAGGAACAGCTAACACAAAGAGTTTCAGAGGAGTCCCAGTTGGGCCAAATCAATGATCCAGAAGAGCCATTGGAAAGGCCTGAAGGACACTTGAGACCAGAGACACAACCCCAGAAGGGGAAGCTCCCTGGGAAGCCAAGCTGTGAACACGGCAGCTTAGGGACAGCTGGTGGTGTGTGTTCAGGGGTCATAGAGGAGCCAGTCCCTCCAGGGGGTGCTGTCCATGACCGTGCCGCCGGTGGATCAGATAAAGGTCCCCTGATTCAGGACGAGGAAAGTCTCTTCAAATGCAATGAGTGCGGGAAAGTTTTTAACAAGAAACGCCTCCTTGCGCGACATGAGAGGATTCACTCTGGAGTGAAGCCCTATGAATGCACAGAGTGTGGGAAAACGTTCAGTAAGAGCACTTATCTCCTGCAGCACCACATGGTCCACACCGGGGAGAAGCCCTATAAGTGCATGGAGTGCGGCAAGGCCTTCAACCGCAAGTCACACCTGACGCAACACCAGCGGATTCACAGTGGGGAGAAGCCTTATAAATGCAGTGAGTGTGGAAAGGCCTTCACCCACCGCTCCACTTTTGTTTTGCATAACAGGAGCCACACTGGAGAAAAACCCTTTGTGTGCAAAGAATGCGGAAAAGCCTTCTGAGATAGGCCGGGTTTCATTCGCCACTACATCATCCACAGTGGCGAGAATCCATATGAGTGCTTCGAGTGTGGCAAGGTGTTCAAACACAGGTCATACCTCATGTGGCACCAGCAGACCCACACTGGGGAGAAGCCCTATGTGTGCACCGAGTGTGGAAAGGCCTTCACCCACTGTTCTACTTTTATCTTACATAAAAGAGCCCACACTGGTGAGAAACCTTTTGAGTGCAAATAATGTGGGAAAGCCTTTAGCAATCGGGCAGACCTCATTCGGCACTTCAGCATCCACACTGGAGAGAAGCCGTATGAGTGCATGGAGTGTGGGAAGGCCTTCAACTGCAGGTCTGGCCTCACCAGACACCAGCGGATTCACAGTGGAGAGAAGCCCTATGAATGCATGGAGTGTGGGAAGACCTTCTGCTGGAGCACAAACCTCATTCGACACTCCATCATCCACACTGGAGAGAAGCCCTATGAGTGCAGTGAGTGTGGAAAGGCCTTCAGTCGCAGCTCGTCCCTCACTCAGCACCAGCGGGTTCATACTGGCAGAAACCCCATCAGTGTGACAGAAGTGGGAAGACCCTTTACAAGTGGGCAAACCTCAGTCAACCTTCAAGAACTCTTACTGGGGAAAGACTTTATGAATGTAACCACTGAGGAAAATCTTTTGCCAGAAGAAACAACTTACTCAGAATCTGATCATTCATACCAAAGAGAAACCCCACAGTTTTCTTCCCTGTGAGAAAAACTATTGCAGGATATTAATTGTCATCTAAAGAGTTATACTGGAAATTGCCCCAACCAAGAGCCTTATTCTGCACCTGAGAATTCATCAAGGAGAGACACCCAGTGGTTATTATGCACTTCGGGAAACCTTTAGCTCCATCTTTCTTCTTAGTTTACATTTCAGTATTATCTCAGGAATGTTTTTAAAAAACAGAAGGGAGAGACTTAGAAAATGAACTGCAAAAAAGTTTCTTTCAGACTTCCTTGCCAAACTCTGGCACTTTGTCATAGATTCATTCCTTAGTTAACTTGTAGGAAGCGCATTTTGTTTCCATGGTAAAGAACCTATACTATGTGTCTTGTGTATACATTCATTGCTAACCAGTGTAAGGTGAGTTAGGTCTGGAACCTTTCATCGAACATCTTTGTCCTAAAACATTGTCTCTGTTCTTAAGGAGCTTAAATTTTGGTTTGAGCCACTAAATACCTTTATATTTAAGGAGGTAAGAATTCACATATGAACGGTCATGTTCTTTTGCACCGTTTAAGACTATTTAGGCTTTGATTTTTTAAAGACAAACCTGTTTTTCATATGTTTTTAACGATCTAACACTCAGATGTTTTCTGCTCCTGTAATAATCCTGGTTTACTGATTTCTTTAATTATATGGTAAGTCTTTTAATTGGGTAAAGTGATTCCTCTTTACCCAGTTCAGTCTTCTTATTTAAAATGTCAGTCTTCTTATTTAAAATTGATTTAGCATCCTCATTATTTTGAATTTCCATGTAAAGTTTTCTGTTAAGTTTTTACTAGCAAAATTACTGACTTTTGAAAGAAATTGAGTTAAATTGGCAAATTAAGATGTTTAGGGTCAGCATCTTTGCTGTTTTGGGTTTTTCCCAGTTTATGAATGTATTATCTCTGTATATTTATTTGCTATCTCTTGATTTATTTCATTATTACTTAATAAGTCTCAATAATAGGTCCTCTACAGTTTTTATAAGATTTATATATAGACATGGGTTTTTTTGTTTGTTTGTTGTTAGTAATTCTAGATTGCATTGATTTTTGAATTTTCAGCTTCCATAGAGTCTTTATTAGTATACAGAAATATATATATTTTTCACATCCTACAATCTTGCTCTTTCTTTTGATAGAATGCTTTGGATTTTCTACATAGAAATATCCTCTGCAAATAGAGAAGTTTTCTTTCTTTCTTCCCATCTATATACCTGTCATTTCCTTTTCTCGTCTTATTGCACTAGCTAGAACTTCCAATATGATTTTGAATACTAGTAGTGAGAAAACATGTCCTTGGCTGGTTCCTGATAGTAGGGGGAAAACATCCAGATTTTCATCATTAAACTGTGGTGTTAGTTGTAAGGTTTTCTTCATAGAGCTTTCTTTAAAGTTTCCCATATTCCTAATTGGCTGAGAATTTTTTGTTGCTGTGAATGAGTGTTGAATTTGTCAAATGGTTTTTTTTTAATCAACTGATAGAATCTTGTGTTTTTTTCTTTTGTAGCCTGTTGTTATATATTATGTTTATGTGAGTTTTGAATGTTGAGCCAGGCTTGTATCCTTGGAATAAGCCCTACTTGGTCATGGAGTACAGTTATTTTTATATATATTACTCTATTTAATATGCTGGTATTTTGTTGAAGTTTTCCTCTCATTTCATGAGTGACAGTGGTACATTTTAAAATATATATATATTTTTTTCTTTCTTTGTCCATTGTCAATGTCTGGTTTTGGGGTCTAGGTGATTCTGACCACCTAACATGTGTTAAGAGGTGTTCTATTCAAAAGACAGTGTATAGTATAGAATCGGTTTGGTGTGTTCTTTTAATGATTGATAGCATTCTCCAGTGAACCATTTAGTCTTGAAGAGTTCTCTTTTGAATGCTTCTTATTTACTTATTTATTTTATTTAATATGTATAGAACTCTTCAGTTTCTATTTCATAGCAGATAAATTTTTACAGTTTATCTTTTTCTAGAAATTGTCCCATTTCATCTAAATGTTCTTATTTGTTTAAAGTGTTCCTTTATTATCATTCTGATGGCAGTAGACTCTGTATTTATAACCCATATTTTATTCCTAATGTTAGAAATATGTTCATTCTCTTTTATGTTTGTCAGTCTTCTTAGACATTTATCAGTTTTTGAAATCATTTTAAAAAACCAGCACTTTATA